TGTAAATGAATACATATGCAGTTACAACTATTATAATTTGATTTTTTTGCCCAATTACTTTACCAAACATCATTTGGGAAATTTATTTCTTTTGTGTAAATCTTATGTATCATCAGTTTCAGTGTCAAGGAAAAACATCATAACGACATAGGTTAGATTTGTGCCGTGGGGTGGTATAGACGAGACCCAACCTTGTTTTAATTCAATTTAATATTTCATTAAAAATCTGAAGGAGATTTTTCGACAGAAGTCAAATTAGACAGAGACATAAAGTTTTGATGAAAACTTTCGAATATTAAAAGATTTTATAACTGTCACATTTTGGGGGGATCAATCCTCATAAAACATCCTTATGCTTGAGAACTAGCCCATGATTAGTACTAGGAAAATTGTTGCTTAATCGGAACTACATTGTAAAGTTTTTAAATGTTGTGCTTTTTATAACAAAATTGTAAATAGTTTGTAACTTGTCTTTTTTAGCTCACCTGAGCCGAAGGCTCAAGTGAGCTTTTCTGATCAAAATTTGTCCGTTGGCGTTGTCGTCGTAAACTTTTTACATTTTCATCTTCTCAAGAACCACTGGGCCAATTTTAACCAAACTTGCCACAAAGTATCCTTAGGTGAAGGGGATTCAAGTTTGTTAAAATGAAGGGCCACACCCTCTTCCAAGGGGAGATAATTATGAATTAGTGAAAAATTAATGGCATTTTTAAAAAATCATCTTCTCAAGAACTACTGGGCCAAGAAAGCTGAAACTTTTGTGGAATCATCCTGGCGTAGTGTACATATTAAATTGTTAAATCCAAGAACCCCGGGGGTAGGGCGGGGCCACAATGGCCGATCAAAGTTTTACATAGGAGTATATAGGGACAATCTTTAAAAATGTTCTTCTCAAGAACCATTGGGCCAGGAAAGATGAAACTCATGTGAAATCATCCTCATGTAATGTAGATTCAACTTTGTTCAAATCATGACCCCCGGGGGTAGGGTGGGGCCACATTGGCTGATCAAAGTTTTACATAAGAGTATATAGGAAATATCTTTAAAAATCTTCTTCTCAAGAACCACTGGGCCAGGAAAGATGAAACTCATGTGGAAGCATCCTCAGGTAGTTTAGATTCAAGTTTGTTCAAATCATGACCCTCGGGGGTAGGATGGGGCCACAAAGGCCGATTAAATTTTTACATAGGGATACATAGTAAAAATCTTTTAAAATCTTCTTCTCAAGAACCACTGGGCCAGGAAAGATGAAACTCATGTGGAATCATCTTCATATAGTGTAGATTTAAATTTATTCAAATCATGACCCCCGGGTGTAGGGTGGGGCCACGAAGGCCAATCAAAGTTTTACATAGGGATATATAGGAAAAATCTTTTAAAACCTTCTTCTCAAGAATCGTTAGGCCAGGAAAGATCAAACTCATGTGGAATCATCTTCATATAGTGTAAATTCAAATTTATTCAAATTATAACTCCCAGGAAGTAGGGTGGGTCCACAATGGCCAATCAAAGAACCACTTGGCCAGGAAAGATGAAACTCATGTGCAATCATCCTCAGGTAGTGTAGATTCAAATTTGTTCAAATCAAGACCCCTGGGGTAGGGTGGGGCCAAAATGGCTGATCAAAGTTTTACATAGGACTAGATAGGGAAATCTTTTAAAATTGTGTTCTCAAGTACTTCAAAGCCATGATTAGTGTTATTTATAAATATGGAATCATCCTCAGGTAGTGTAGATTTTAGTTTGTTCAAATCATAACCCCAGGGGATTGGGTGTGGCTGTTCAAATCATAACCCTAGGGGATTGGGTGTGGCTGCAATTGGGGATCCAAGTTTTACATTAAAATATATTTTAAGAAATCTCCTTCTCAAGAATAGCAAAGCCATGACAGTGATACTAGTATTTACATATATGGAAGCATTTTCGGGTAGTGTAGAAAAATGAAGCCAATTAAAGGGGAAAATCCCAAGAACAAAATAGCTTTGATTAGTCATATTGACATGTAAGTATCCTCATGCATTGAAGATTTAAATTATTCAAATCATGGCCCTTTGGGGTAGGGACGGAAACAATGGGGAATCAAATTCAAATTATTATGAAGTTATATATAGGAAGAAAATGTTTTTAAAAAATCTTTTTATCAAGAAAAGCAAAGCCATATGCTGTATTAATTTGAAGGCATTCTCTCTCAAGTAGTATTAAAATTTAAGTAGTATTAAAATTCAAGCCCCCCCTTCCCTTCAGTGAAATTTTCAATTATGATCTGATTTGTGCTTTTTCCTAGCTGATTTGCTCAGGTGAGCGATGTGGCCCCTGGGCCTCTTGTTTTGTTTTACCATGTCAATGATCGACATACCCAGGTATGAGGGAAGGATTCTTTATTTGTTCATAATATTAAGAGATGATTACATTTATATTTACAATGTATATACATGTAATACTATTTCTGTTGTATTAAAGGAAATGGAAAATCAGCTTAGTTATTGGAGGTATCAACATCTACAGATCTATGTAAATGATGGGACTAGTGGGCGCTAACTACACAGTTAAATTATATCATTGAGGGAATTAGCGTGATCCCAGTTCCCCAAGGCTAGAACTATTTCTCGAGGCGCAGTCCAGGGAAATAGTCCTCGTCCTGGGAAACTGGAATCTTGGAATACTTTTCAACTGTTTTATTATACTGATACAAAAGTTAAAAAAAATAAAGGATTACGAATGACGGGGAATTAGTTTTCAGAGCAAAAAGGACTGTCCTAACAATCCTAGATGCAAGGCATGCAAGGGAGAAGGTCATAAGCCAGGTGACCCTAAATGTGAACATTTTACCTAACCGAATCCCGATGTCATTCCTTTTTCTGGAGAGGCAAATTGCCTTTCAAATTTCTTCCCCTGCAACATTAACATCTTTGGTTTTGACCACAAGTCAGCCGAACATGCATATCAATACGTAAAAGCAATGAGAAGCGGCGACATTATAAGGGCGTCAGCTATTCAATCAGCAAAATCGGCGCTGGAAGCAAAGAAAATCGGTAATTTGGTCACCCCATCTTCTAGCTTTTCTTCCAATCAAGTAGCATTGATGACGGAGATTATTGAAGCTAAGGCTACCCAGCTCCAAAACTTTGCCGAAACGCTAAAAAGTTAAAAAAATTCCACCGTTTTCTTAGAAACAACCTACGACAATTTCTGGGGATCTGGACTTGACGCAACCCAGACAAGTCATACTTGTTCCAAGGCGCGGCCAGGGAACAACACCCTAGTCCCTAGGTAAATTTATCGGAGAGCAGGCTGCGTGTCTTCGTTCTAAACCAGTCGTAAGGTCGTCATCCACTTCCAGAATGCGTGGCAAGGATTCAACTCAAATGCATGGACGTATCAGAAATGATAAAAGAGCTAAAAAGTACCGGAAACAAGGAAACTCCAACAGGAAAGGCCAAAAGTCGACAGGTGATGATGGATAGACATTTTCTCTACTCTCAGACAGCTAAGGTATTGTCATGTTGAAAATTTTGAATTGACCGGGTGGCAGTAAATACAAAATTTACAAAAATTTTGTATTTACTGCCACCCGGTAAATTCAAAATTTACAACATGACAGTATTTATGGTTGATATGTTTATAACATTGTCATATTTATTACAAAATGTCTGAAATGGAAACAATGAAATTTATCTCTGTTAATGCGTGTGGCCTGAATTTAAAAGAAAAAAGAGAAAAATTATATACCTGGTTATTATAAATTAGATACAAATATAGATATTTGTTTTATCCAGGAAACACATTACATTGAGAAAAATGAATTTCAATATGATTGTAAATGGCCCGGAAATTCTATTCATACTTATTCGGATTCAAGCTATAGTAGAGGTGTCTCTATTTTATTGAAAAAAAAAAACGTAAACGCCGAAATACTTGATACGCATAAATCGAAAGATGGCAGAAAACTACTAGTTAACATGAATGTTAATGATACAACCTTTACTTTGGTCAATGTTTATGCACCAAACATAGAATCAAACAGAATAGATTTTTTTAAAAGGTTGAAAACATTTATTAATAGTCATGCACTTAATCAGTCACATATTATTCTATGTGGAGACTTTAATTGTAATATAGATAATACAACTGACAAGAGTGCTAAAATCCTAAAAGATTGTGTAAATATCTTAAAAGTTAAAGATTTATGGTTGAATAGATATGAAAACCTAGATGGTTTTACTTGGTGTGATGCTTCTGATACTCCAAAAAGTAGAATAGACTTTGTCTACATAAGTGATGAACTATTAATACATTTTAAAAATATGTCTATCAGAAAGATTCCCGGAACACATGGCAATGGGACATGAATGTCTGATCACAGAATGTTGAAATTTGAATATAAAACAAGTATTAGCTTTCCTAAAAAGCTTGTCTGACGTGGTTTGCTTTAATTCATAAAGCGGAAAGAAATAAAATATATGTTATATAATTTCGTTCGTTCGATAATAAGACCGCGGAACATTAACTGGCGAAATTGGAAATATACAGCTTACGTCATTTTCATCCGTTACAATCAAAACATTCAGTGATAGACAATGAAATGGGCGGGTACAATTCGACGCGGACTTTTGGAAAACATCGGATTGAAATTTTTTTGCAGATCGAAATTCATTTTCAATCCACCTCAGCTACGCTAGGAGGTACATTATTACTGATTGACCCAGAATACAAATAATTTCAATTTTGGTACAGTTTGATTTTTTTATCCAGTGTTTTAAATGAATAAATATTTAAGGGGGAAATATTTCATTTCTGTTTGGTAAATATATGTATATCTTTGTGTTGGTGATGGTGGTGGTGGGGGGTTGAACGATTTTCAAATTAAGTTGTCCGACAGTTTTCAGTGAGAATAAGTATAAAACTCATGCACTCTTATAATCCTAGAAATAAAATATATTGTCATGTAAGCCGTGACCTGACTCTATAATTTTTTCACCCCCCCCCCCCCCCTGCTAGAATCAAACATCTAAAAAATAATCTTTGTCTTGTATGATGTTTCGCGTTCTTAAAATTATAAGCTAAAACTCATATTAATGTGAACTTCAAACAATATGTATTTGGGAGTTAAAATATAGTTGATTTTTGGATCATACATTCACTCTTTGCTTTGAAAACACCTTAGGTGGATTGAAAATGAATTTCGATCTGCTATTTCAATCCGATGTTTTCCAAACGTCCGCGTCGAATTGTACCCACCCATTTCGTTGTCTATCACTGAATGTTTTGATTGTAACAGACAGAAATGACGTAAGCTGTATATTTCCAATTTTGCCAGTTAATGTTCCGCGGTCTTATATCTTCAAGAGACCATGCGTAATCAATATTGTATAAAATAATGTACAAAGAACTTTAAATTGAAGCTCCTCGCTCCAAGATCATGAAACAAGCTACGACTTCAGTGAAATTTTTAATTGCCGATAAAATATTCATTAATTATGAAATTTATTTCTTCATTTGCACATAACAACATCTCTGTAAAACAATGTTGAAAATATCCCTAACCCTAACTCTTCTGGTCTGCTTGACCTTTACAACATTATATAAATATTGCATGTAGTTGAGTGTAACATTGAAAATTTTCACCCCAAGAAAACCATTGTCAACCGAGGCGCAGCCGAGGTTGACAATGGTTTTCGAGGGGTGAAAATTTTCAATGTTACACTCAACTACATGCAATATTTATTATATTATACTGAATGTTTTATACAGATACATATAACAGTGAACCGTGCGAGCATAAATTCTGCGCAGTCGCTATTTTTTGGAATACCACCCGTCGTCAAGCAATGTTGACTGTTGCTACGCTGGAGGGCGTGGCTTCATTATTCAGCGGGTAGTAGTGTTATTTAACAAATGTTTCTCGACCAATCAGATTCAACTAATTTCACATGAAGTATAATATTTTAATATAAAATAAAAATTTTGATCGACTTAGGCCAAAGATATTTCAAGATCCCGGGTTAGCATTTTTCAAGTAATGTTTTATATGTTAAATGACCTAACTGATCTTTTATTCTACAAACAGAATAAAATGAAGGTTGTAAATGATGAAATCAATGGGAAGATTTTTGATAGCCCTAACCCCAACCCTGGCGATAACAATCTTGGCAGAGCGCTACACATGCTGACCATTCCCCTGCTGTTCTTGAAAGCTTTAATTGCTTCTCAAACCATTTGGTGTACAATGATTCTCTATTTAACACGGTTACGTAATTGATTGATGAAATTTTGAACTGAAACATCTGGGAAAAGATACAAGAAGATGCAAACTAATTGAATGTAATATGGTCCGAAGTATAATTGTTGGATAAGATTGAAGTTTAACACTTCAGCCAACATACAAATCTATTTACACAATAAAGAATTTAAAGCGAACTTGAATAAGACTTTTTTTCTGTGTTCACTGCATTTTTCTCAGGCACCGTAAATAGTTTTTACAATACTTGGAGCAGGGCAACGGAGAGAAAATATTTGACCTCGTGCCTTATGTTTAGGTACTAGTAAATCAATGTCAAGGTATAAGTTTACTGAAAATAAGCAATCAATAATAATTTAACCATAACATGTAAAATGACTGAATCTTTGATACACAACACAAAACATTGATATTTATATAATAAGGCATTTTTTATAGAGAATTGAAGCGGACATGTTCAAAGATGAAAGCACGGATTAAACTAAAGATAAGATGACTCAGTTATGTAAATAAAAGCTCATTTTCTCCTGGGACGAACTACATGAGTCATTGGAGATTATGCATGTATCGAAATTTCCACCATCGAACTATCTAAACAATTTCATGGAACGACTGCATAAATAAGCCCTGGTTAAATCTAGTACTGTCTGACGCCGTGACGTCAGACAATGACTGAAAACAAACGAGTGGCGAGTTATTGGAAGATGAATACTTCTATTATAAACGAAAATGATTATAAGAAAAGTATTATTGACCTAATACAAAATATTGAAAAGCTAGAAAAGACCTATGTGGAAAAATCGGAAATCTTGAAACAAGATATCAAAAATATTTCAATTAATTTCTCCATTAGACGTCAAAGAACTTATAAACAAAACATAATGAATATAGAAAGAGAAATTTCTGAAATTGAAAACTTACCACATTATTTAATAGATATGAATAGAAAACGAGAATTAGAAACCCAACTAAGTAACCTTCTCGATCAAAAAACAAGAGGGGCACAAATTCGATCCCGTGCCAAATAGGTGCAAGATTTGAAAAGAATACGAAATTTTTTCTAGGTCTAGAAAAAAAACCCATAGACTCACAATATTATCAATGAAATTGAAACTGATGAAAAAGAAATACTTTCTACAAATAGAGATATTTTAGGGGAAATGTGTAACTATTATGAAAAACTATATAGCTCAAAATTGATACCACATAACAATATAAACTCATATCTAAGCGATTGTAATGTTAAACATTTAACAGAAACTAATAAAAAGGTATGCGAAATGTTTCCTACTCTTGAAGAATGTAAAGAAGCAGTCATAAATTTAAAAACTAATAAATCTCCAGGTTTAGATGGAATACCAAACGAATTTTATCAATGCTTTTGGAAACATTTATCTCCACTATTCTATGATATGCTAAAAGATATTTTTAAGAACAATGAGATGTGCTTCTCGCAAAAACTTTCTGTTATGTCTTTAATACATAAAAAAGGAAATAAATCTTTATTGAAAAATTATAGACCGATTAGTCTTACAAACACAGATTATAAATTTATGCATTTATTTTTGCAAGGCGCTTACAAAAGATAATCGATAAGTATATAGGCGACGAGCAAACCGCATATATTAAAGTAAGATTCATAGGAATGAATGCTAGGTTAATTCTCGACATTTTTGACTATTGTGAAAACAACAATCAAGAAGGTTTACTACTTTTTTTAGACTTTGAAAAAGCATTCGATTCCGTAGAATGGAACTTTCTTTTTAAAACACTCGAAAAATTTAACTTTGGTAATTGTTTTATAAAATGGATGAAAATCCTTTATAAAAATCCTACTTTCAGATTAAAAAATAATGGTTGGATATCCAAAACATGTGAAATGAATAGAGGAATTCGACAAGGATGCCCAATATCTGCAATATTATATCTTTTTGTAGCTGAAATATTGTCAGAAAGAATTAAAAACAACATAAACATTGAAGGGTTTAAATACAAAAATTCAGATAAAGAAATCAAGAATATACAACATGCAGATGATATGACTTTGGCGCTTAAAAACATTCAACCGCTATCCCAAGCAATAAGATCTTTTTTGTAAACATGCAGGATCAAAAATAAATTTAGATAAGACAGAATGTATTCTTTTAGGCTCCTTAAAAGACCAATATAACAATATAGAAGGTATAAACGTAACAAACCACGAGGTGAAATGTTTAGGAATATTCCTAGGACATGATAAAATAGAATGCTATAA